CATCAAGTCGAGTATGACTCATATCAACCCTATGAACAAAATATGTGAACCCTGTTCTATCCTGTGCCAATCTCACACTTCCTGACACACAACAGCCCACTGCAGAAGTGTCAGTCCACTTGGCTGAGGGTCTTCCTCTCTTTTACTGACCATCTACCCTTCCTACCATCATGTCCTTCTCCAAGGAATAGCCCCTTCCAGCAAAGTATATGAGACAGAGCCTCATCATTCTTGCCTCCAAAGAGCATCCCAGTTGCACCCTCTCCTGCCTCTGAAAATTCTGGAGGGTCAACCATGAGTTTACTCCAACTTAATTCTACACAAAAACAAGAAGAAAAGATTTTACCAAGGGTGAAAAAGGACCTACAGAGTAAAGGGGGAAAAAAATCTTTGGGAAGAAGATATTTGGTAAGCTCTGAAATGCATAAAACAGCCATTCAAATCCACCAGATTCTCTCCTGGAGAAGGAGGCGCAATCTCCTCCTGTACCAGTCAGATCCGATTTGACAGTACACATACACACACACACACACAATTTTTTAAAAGTCTTTAAAATGCATAAAACACTTCAACAACTTAACGAAAAAAGGCATAAGTAATTAAAAATGGGCAAAAGGAATGAATACACACTTTACACACAGAAAAAGACATTAGATGGGAAATACCCCATTGAAAAACAATGTATACAAACTTTGTAAACCAACTAGTATAAAATAAAAACTTTATTTAAAGAAAAAAAAAACATTAGGCATGAATAGACACTTGTAAGCGACTCAACGGCACATAACAGCAACAACAACAACAGACTCTTGCAATCATTGGTCAAATGCCAATCAAAACTACAGCAAGATACCATCCCATCTCCGCAAAAAAATAGCACCATTTAATGGAATAAATATATGTGAGTAAATCAATATAAAATAAAAATTGTATTTATCTTTAAAAAATTGAATAAAGAATGATGAGGTCTGGGTATATACCAGTTCCAATCCTAAGCGTCAAAAACATTAACAAACCTGAGTAATATTGATAGGTCTGGAGACAAAATTCCAGCAACTGAATCATACCAGGAATCATTTAAGATACTTGTAATAACAGTGATTTTTAGTCTTGAGGAAAGAAAATGAAGAGTGTAAATGTGGTCATGTTCTGGACAGCTGGCTATTAAGTGACAGAGGTCATTGTTCAGGATTGTCCCAGAGGGCAGACTTAGAATTACTGGACAGAAATGTCCTTTGAACTGCTTCAGGAAGCGTTTCCTAAACATAGTCTCATAAAGCTCCAGGTTGTTTGACGAAGAGAGGTTTCTTTTTACCACAAGCATCTGGGTGAAAGTTGGCAGGATTCTTGCAACGGGTGGTAGCCAGGGAAGTTGGTTACTAAGCTTTCTACTGGCTCCAATCACTCACTCTGAAGTCCTTGAGTAACAGAATATGCTAACTGTATTTTCCTTGCATTTGCTCAGCAGAAAGTTCCGATGAAAAAGTTAAGGATATTTAGTATAAAACTTACATAGATGATCACAAACAATTATTATTGTGGATTGCTGTTAAGTCAAGCACAACTCACAGCGACCCTATGAACAAAAGGCTTAAAGCTTTTCTAAAACTATCAACATTTATCAAAGTTCATAGAGTTTCCAGAGGCACGTTGTTTAGGAAGTGGATGCCCCTCCTGCTTCCAACATAAACAATAAGAGACTCATTTATCAAGGGGTTCACCTCTAAAAGCTGTATTTTATTACATGTTGTATTCGGGAAATCTGTGGTCAAGAACCTCTCCAAAGTTCCACAGAGTGAGATGTCAGTTTAAAGAGTGAGATGTGCCTTATCCAAGCCATGATATTTTGAATTGGTTCTTCTATTTTAAATTGGTTCTTATGCATCTGAAAGTTAGACAAAAAGGATGACGGAAGAGGTGATGTCTTGGAATTGTGGTGTTGGCAAAGCGTATTAAATACCCCTTCAGGACTCTGCCAAAAGAACACATCTATCTTGAAGGAAATGCAACCGGAGTGCTCCACATAGGCAAGGATCCTGAAACTCTGCCTCACTTACTTAGGGCATGTTGTCAGGAGGGGTCAGACCTTGGAGAGAGATACCATCGTGGGAAAGGTGGAGAGGTAGGGAACAAGAGAAAGACCCTTAACGACATGAACTGACACAGAAACTACCCCATAAGCATGACACAGATATTAAGGACACACAGGATACAGCAAGGTTAGGTTCAGATCTATGGTTCATAGGGTCGTTAAGGTCTTCGTTTTTAACCAACATCCTTGTTCTTTTGTGGAGAGGTCAATGACAGCAGAGTTCCCCAATGGAGCAAGATTTTACAACTTTCCAGCATACTTGTCTTGTTTGAGGTTTTGGGGGTGTTTTGTTAAATTTATATATAAGTATTTAATTTTTGTTGATGGAACTGTTTTGTTTTGCTTTTTGTATTGTTCATTACTTGTCTATGAAATACAGCTAATCAGAACTAAATATTTTTCTATTTCAAAAGGAATGAGTAAAAAATGAAAAGAATAACCTGAAAGAAGTATCTACAAAATCCTGTTTTTACCCAGAAGATACAAAGAACTCTTATAACTCAAATACCAGTGTTGTTTTTTTTTTTAATGGGCAAAACCTTTGAGTAAGCATTTCATCAAAGATACATAAATTACTAAAATACACATGAAAACTATTAGTATTATTAGTCAAATGGAAAGTAAAATGGAAATGGAAGTAAAACCATGAAGTGCTACAACTGCACACCCACTAAAACTGATCAAAAAGACTCTTACCAGGTGGTGAGCAAGAATGTGGAGAATCTGAAATCCTCACACACTACTCTAGGTAATGTAAATGGTACCACTATTTAAGAAACAATTTTATAGTTGTTTTTAAAGTTACACATGGAATACTGTAAGATTCAGAAATTTCGCTTTTAAATATTTACCTAAAATCAGAAAACTTTATGCCCATGCCAACAGCTATTCCACAATCAACACCGATGGTCGCAGATGTCAGGAAATCAAAAGTTCTACTGCCCTGGGGAAAATCTGCTAAGGTCTTCCCTAAGTGCTAAGGAGCAAGGATAATACTTTAAAGATTAAGGTGCAGCAGATCCAAAGTCTTTTCAACTGCTTCCTAGGCATCTGAAAACTGGACAATGAATAAGGAAGACAAAGAAAGATCAATGCCATTCAGTTGAAGTATGGGAGAAGAGTATTTGAATATATCAGGACTTCCAAAAGAACAAGCAACTCTATCTAGGAGGAAGTGCAACCAGAGTGCACCTTACAGGCAAGGATGGTGAAATTAAATTCTGTCTCACGTACATAGGATACATTGTCAGAAGGGGCCGGTCCTTGGAAAAAGAACATCATGCTTAGAGAAGAGGGTTAGCAAAAGAAAGGAAGACCCTAACGAGATGGACTGACAGAGTGACTACAAGGATGAGCTTGAGCACTGGGCAGATGATGAGGTCTGCAGAGCATAGGGCAAGGCTTAGATCTGCTGTTCACAGGCTGCTCTAAGCCACAGTTGACATAGTTGATGGCACCCAACAACAACAAGAGTCGTACAAATGTCCAGAGCAGCATCATGAATAACTGTAAAAAGGTGGAGATAATAGAAATGTCTATCACCTGGTGAAGAGATAATAAAATGTGGTATAACCCTATAATAAACGTTATCCTGCAGTAAAAGAACCAAACCAAAAGATACACACACAGTTTGTTATGAAGAATCTAAAAAATATGACAAGTGAAAGAAAGGATTCAGATGTAAAAAAAAAAAAAACAACAAAAAACCAACAAACTACACACCATACAATTCTATTATATAAGACATTTACAGAAAAGATCTAACTGTACAAAAAGGAAGCTGATCACTGGGTGTCTGAAGCCTGTGGTGGGGGGTGGACGGGCAGGAGAGAGTTTTGTTTTTAATGAGAAAAAGTTCTAACACTGAATTATGGTTGGGGTCACATCTCCTTAAACTCATTTCTTAAAATCAGTGAATTGTACTCCTACAATGCATAGATTCTGAGATTTGTAAATTATACTTTAGTAAAAACATTTCAGTGTGTTTTGTTTTTTTTAGTTTAATGAAAGTTTATAAAGAACTTGGATTTCCATTCATTCATTATTGCACATTTTCCTCCCTGCCTCCCTTCCCCCACCCCCAGTGCCCTTTGTTCTTTGGGGAAAAAGTTTTTTCATTGATATACAGTCCCCCCACCAACCACTTTAATATGCAGCTCTTATTCTGCACTCTTGTCATGCCAATAATACCTAATCACATATTCCTTTTATATCGTTTTCTCTCTCTTCTGTTTCAATGCCGTATACATTATTTATCGCCTTTTCTTAGCTTCTCCCTAGTCCCCTGCTCAGTCTTGTTCTATAATAGTGGCATTATACAGTATTTGTCTTTTTGTGACTGAGATATTTCACTCAGCATAATGGTCACTCATTTTGTATAGTATTTCATAAACTCAGTTTTCAGTGCTGCATAATATTCCATTGTGTGAATATGCCACAGCTTCTCTAGCCGTTCATTTGTTGATGGACAGACCATTTTGTTCTTGCTTTTTAAATGGCAACATCATGAAGAATGAAAGATTGCGGAGGAACTATCTCTCCCCCATGGAAAGAGTCTAAGGAGGTCAAACAACTCAGGTCAATACTCGATTCTGAATTGGATCCTGTGAGGAGTAGGCGTGAGGTATAAAAAAGGGGGAGATGATAGCCATGCAGAACATTATCAAGATCACTTGATAAACTTGACTGGAATGCATTTGGTTTGCGTTTATCCAGGGGAATAATCTACAACTAATGTGTGGCACTCTCTCAAATGTTTAATCCGTTCAGGTCTCACTGCCAGATAACAAAGCAAAGAGCCACAGACACACTAGAGCAAGGAATGAGATGGGGAAGCTCTGACCAGGACACAGATTAAAGAATTAAGCCTTCCAAGTTTTCATTAACCTCTCGTTGACAGGTCTCTCACCAGAAAGATGTCTGCGTAGCCAGCCAAGGACTCCACCCCTTCCTGGATCCGCGCTCCTCCGGAATCGTTCAGTCCAATCACTGGAGCCCCCACCGTCAAGGCCTGGTCCATGATCTGAGTCAGCACAGAAATCTTTTGTTAAAGGATTACTCCTACTAACAAAAAAAACCCAGACAAATCAGCATTCACACGTACTACTGTGTTCTCTAGAAAAATGTTCTGAGTGGACATTTCAAGAGGCAGGAGCAATGGTTTAAATTCCCTATGAAGACACAGCATCTTCATGGGAGACAGACAACTACATATTTTCAAAACTGATTAAAGTCTCCAAAGATTTACCACACTTCGTACCAAGCAGGAGGTAAGACGGATCATTTCTGGGATCATAGACGCAGGCAGTTAGCAAACAGTAATATTTTTCATGAGTGAATTTCTCACTTAGAAAAGCTGACAGGAGACACAAGGGCTAAGTAGCATTTGGCCGGCAGCAGATGCTGACCCTTCGATTAACCTGAGGCCAGTCCACGCTTGCTTTTACATGGAATGTGACAGATTTCTCCGATGGATTCTGGCACCCTAATGAGCCGCCTTCCTACAGCCCTTAATTTCACTAAGCACTTTCACTTACATGATATCCTCTGACCTTCATAACAGAAGCAGTGAAAAAGAAAAATCAGGAAGGTTTAAGTTAGTGATTAGCTCAAACTCTTGGGAATAAGGCATGGCAGAGGCATATCAAGGATCTCTGACATCATCAGATATCCCTTACGTGGTGATGTTAGCCCAGCTAACAACAGCTGACTCTACCTTTAATTCCAAAATTCTGCGTGTATGATCTACACTATTTTTCTTATGCCCAGCTCATTCCATCTCTAATAGGATTTTTAAAATATTATCACATATTCCTAGCACTGTGGTTATTGCACATCACTGCGTTGAAACCAAGCTACCATTGACCCTCCAGGGGGGTTTTCAGAGGCAGTTGATTGCATGGGAAAAAATTGCCCATCCTTCTG